TGGTACCAAGATCAACTCGATATGCCCAGTATTTCCAAAATTATTAACCAAAACGTCTTTTTTCCAAATTCAAAAATTTTCTCTCCTATAGGTTCCGCCTAACTTTTTCCTCAAATCTGGTCCTTTCGACCTAAAAATTATTGATCCGAGCTCAGGAGGCCTATACTCTTCTAGTTCAATGCAAAAGACCCGATCTAAAACGTTTTTGTAGAAAAATTTTGCGAAAAACTATGCTACCTGGACCCCTCCGGATTGGTGAATCTACCAAATCAAACACGTTAAGTTCGATTTCTCTGCAACCCGGAAGGCTTTCGGGTAGCGGGTTTTAAAACTCGTAGATTCACTAGTGGACGTTGTCCAAACAACTATTTTTACTGTCCTAATTCAAAAATTTCAAAAAATTTTCTGATTTTTTAGCGCTTTGTACTATCAAAAAATGGGAAAATTTGGTTTTTGGTACCAAACTAGTTCCAACCACTTCCGAACTAAAGTTAACCGGTTCTACTTATTACAGTAGTGCAGTTACGATGTAACACACTGACTTAGCGCTTTTTTCCGTTTCAAAAAATATCGATATCTCAAAAATTGCGACTTGTGGGGGGATCAAAATATCGCAATTTTGACCCTAAAAACCGGTCAGTTTTCGTTGTTTTTGGCTGAAAATCGATATAAGACTATTAATATAGGCTATATAAGTAATAATACTAGGAATACTATACCCCTCCGGGTTTGTTTAATCTCCGAATTAAGGTGCTTAACTCGGATTTTCGCAGTTCGGTGAAGGGTCACTACAGTGCAGCACTGTCGAGCCCCCCACAGATTACTATCCTACTCTTTGTACCAAAAGGGATACAAAACTTGTTAACGATACCCAACAGTCGATTGTAGTTGTCGTTGAGCCTCTTCCTGTTGTTCCCTGTACTGCTTGCCGGATCGGTCTTCACCCAAGACCCTTCCGAATTGAGCGCAAATCAGCTGACCCTTCCGGATTGAGCGCAATTTAACATTAACGTGCTTAAATGCTCAAATAACCCTACAGTACAAGCCTCACAAAGGGGCCACAAAATTGATCGTAACGATCCTGACTGATATCAATGCCTGTAATAACAATATATCTATCAACAACAAACGGGGGGGTTGAATCACATCTTGTCTGGGGGGATGATTTCTACTGATTTTTTACTTTTTTACTTTTTTTGGTTTTTTCGGTTATTTTTTATGTTTTTTGTTTTTCTTGGGTACTATACTACTTTTTGTTTGTTTTTACTTATATCTTTAAGTGTTTTTGGTCACCAACCACTCAGGACGAGGGGACGGCCGATCCCCCCACCCTTCCTGGTTCGTGAATTTTCGGTCTTGACTAGGTTAAAAAACTATTCACGGCAATCCGGAAGGCCTCCGCGTTCCGAACTACCCTTCCGCCCGGCGGTTTAGGCCTAATAAGGGCGTTAATGTGAGCATCCGCTCGGCGCGGAATGCTCGTTAACGGTTCTGCCGGTCATGATGTTAAAAAAGAATAACACCCAGGAGCGCCATAAAAACATACATGTAACATTCGCCCGGAAGATACATATCGACGGATAACAAAACTAAGTCTTAAGACGACTGGCTAGCGTCTAAACAGAGCTTTGCATGTTTTTCACCGTCTCTACCAAGCCAGTACTTTTCGGTGGTCTTTCTTACATCAGGCTGACAAAAACGTTACTGTTCTCCGGCTTCGACCAGAACGCTCAAATTAACTAAATTACATGCAAAATCAGTGAGCTCATGGCTGGGTCTCAGTATCCCCAGACCACGAGGTCACTCCTAAAAACAGGGCTACTACTTATCATATTACTATTGTTTTTGTTCAGTAGATAAAAATCATCATCTCCATCGAAGATGGATCAACCCTTCCCCCCCTACTTCTAGCTCCTCATTCTTGTCAAAACGAATTAAGATCTTAATTAAATTCAAGTCAGGACATGAGGGATGCTAAAATTCAATACAAGTTCATAAAAGTTCCCGTCCCGAGACCCTTCCGGATTCTTGAATCCGGCGAATCAAGCTCCTTAACCTCAAGTTCACGCTAACTCGGAGGGCTGGTTTTCACCCTTCACCGTTGTTCGCAACGGCCCTGCAACTATTGTAACAGCACAATAGTTGCAACTCGGAACGTCCTCTGCTGTTCGGTAGTTCGTTGTTGTTTTTTTTTAGTCTCGATTTCGTACTGTTCGTAATCGCAGATAAAAGTTGTTGTGTTTTTTCCCTCGTTTTTGGTAAAAATGGCCGTTTTAGCATTTCTCAGAAATGTTACGTCACCACTTCGAAAATTTAAAATTTTAAAATACGGGAATATCTTGACCTTCACCGTTCTGCTAATCATCGGAATAACGTCGTTAATCCTTCTAAATCGCCAATTCGGAAGGCTTGCTGCTAAAATACCGAATTCTGCGGAGGCTGCATTTTGGCCATTCTGGTCGAATGTCACAAACCCTCCGATCTTCCAAGTCTTGGTGAGCCTCAAAACTTATCAACCACGAAATTAGATGATTTTGATATCTCGGAGCAACGCATACAAAACATCTGCAGAACTCTGGACTGTACAAAAGCAAGTGGCCCAGATAAAATACCCGCAATTCTTTATAAGAACTATTCAAAAAACATCGCTAAATCACTAAATGTTCTTTTCTATAATATCAAACAAACCTGCAGTTTCCCCAGCTATTGGAAATGCGCGATCGTTAACACGACTCATAAGAAATCGTGTAAATATATGGTGGAAAACTACAGAGCGGTTTCGTTACTTGTAATCGTATCTAAAATTCTTGAGCGATGTATGTTCCTCGACATCTACGAATTTTTCGAGCCGCTCATCTCCAATCAGCAATAGGGTTTCCGCAAAGGACGATCATGTGTAGTTCAAATGATTGTTTATCTGAACAAGGTCTATAAAGCAATCAATGATGGAAAATCTGTAGAAGTTGTGTACACAGATTACGAAAAGGCATTTGACAGAGTAGACCATCAATTATTGCTGCGCAAAATTCAAGATATCGCTATAAGTGGGAGATTGCTCAAACTACTCCGCTCGTATCTTACCAAACGTACCCACAAAATAAGGGTAGAAAATCAATTATCCACAGAAAGATTATTAAACAGTGGTGTCCCACAAGGGTCAATATTAGCAAGCATCTTATTTCTTATTTACATAAATGACATACAATCGCAATGTAAATTCTCTACACCTCTCATATGCGCCGATGATGTCAAATTCATTAACATCAATCAACAGCGCAACATTTTTCAAACTGATCTAGACAGAGTGTCCAAATGGACTTCATCTCACAAACAAACGCTGCATGTTGGTAAATGCTCTTACATGAGCTTTACAGGTGAATGCAACCAAATGACTTTCAATAATATTGCAATACAGAAAGATCTTGGGTTATTAGTCTCGCGGATTATGAAATGGAATGAAACTATAAGCAAAAATATATCCAAAGCCCTTAAGACCTTTTATATGCTGAAATGAAACACTCCAAAGGAACTACCAATGCGCATGAAACTTAATATATTTAAATCGATGATTTTACCAGTGCTGTTAAAAGGGTCAAGTTGCTGGGCAGGAAGTATTAAAATGCTTAGATTGATCGAAAAAGTGCAAGAGAAAGCACTGACATGGGTAAAGGCCGGAAATCTGATGCAATGCAACATTTTACCGCTGACCTTGTATATGCAATTATTGGATCTACTATTTATGTCCAAGATGTTGAATGGTTACTATAGAATTGATGCCACAGAGTATTTTTGTTTAAAGGATTTCGACAGAGCCACACGGTTATCAGAGAAACCTTTTTTCGAACTGCCGAAAATAAAGAAATCTATCTACCAACAGGAGTTTTGGCTCAGAACCTGCAAACTTGTGAACATCTTACCAAATTCAATCGACTACTCCAACCATCAGGGACTCAAACCACGACTACTGAATCACTTCTGGAGTTACTTCATGACAAACTATAGATACAACGATATTTCGACATGGAAACTTGCATGACGCTGAAACTTAAGGGTGGAAACACCCAAGCTCTAATAGCTGAATCCGTAATAATAATAATAATAATAATATTACTTTAGTTTTTGTTCAGTATACAAAAATCATCATATCCCTCGCAGATGGATCAACACTTTTTTGTCAACTCCTATCTAAAAGTTTGAAGTCTTTTCCCTAGATCCTTATCGGATTATCCGAATCCGGTCGAAGAGCTGTCTTGACGACCAGAAAGGGTAGCAAAATCGTCCTAATAGCCCTCCTGATTCTCGGGAATCGCGCCGTAACGGTTGTAGGTGCACAATCCTTACAACTCCGAGTACTCATATATTAATATTTTCAATTGCGATTCTGTTGTTTGCTCTATTTCTTGTATGTCTCGTTTTTATCAACGAAAATCGCGGTTCTGATTTTTGAGGTTTCAGTGGTTGCAAAAATAAAATTGTTACGTGTCATTGCACGCCTAATTCGAAAATTATTTCGTCACTTCAAATTAGTCTCTACAAATACGTTCACCTAAACGATTAACACTTCTAATCGTTCGAAACAGCCAATTTTCCCACTGAAATGTTCCGAATATAATTTCGTGGACATGCATTTCGATCATTCTGGTCGAATGTCAGAAGTTTAACAATTAAGACTGCTAATCTTCAAAAACAGGGTACCTTCCCTCAAAACTGCTCCAGAAAGTTTCGTTAATGACGCAATGACATGCAGTTTTGAAGTCGTTCAGGTCGAATTGCACATACTTTCCCCTAATTTTTGAAACTTTTATGTTTTTTTGCTTGGGTGATGTGATGGACTAGTGGAGTAAGCTCGGTTACAATGATAATTTTTGACCTTTGGCTTGCAATGTTACTTTTGTGGTATCGCAAGTGATGCGATTTGTGGCATTTCAAGTGATGCAATAGTAGAATAACAAATTGCTCCTCTTCGCCTCTGTGGTTAAATTGGTTATTTGTTTAAGAAAATGGTTACTTCAATGACAACACATGATTCAATCATTTCTTTCATTGTAAAAATTGCGCCGAAATTGAACAATGCTTGAAGCCATAACGTCGGAGTCAGGCCTTGTGCTGGCAGGTTTTTCTGCTGCTTTTGCTGAGAGGTGTGGTGCAGGTGCTTGTTACCGCCAATTGATTACCGAAACCAATGATTTCCTTAGGCTCAGAAACAGGACAGAAAACTCCCCCGAATTCACCGGCGACTCCGATCGAGTCAGTTACGGTAGCAGAATCAGAAAGTCGATCCAAAATTCAAAACAACTCAGAGACATCGCCAATCTCGGTTAGATCATGATTCTTGCGCAATTTGTGAAATCTTCTTTAATAACTTGGGGTATTATGTTTTCAGGGTCTCATCTTGCTTGATGACGTGATAATTTTTTTTTCATTCTCGTGTGTTTTTACACTTGCGAAGCAAGTGTATTAGTACGAACCTGTATTTTTTTCCAACATCACAATTAACTGCTCAAGCAAAGAATGCTTAAAACCTTCAGGACTTTTAAACTGGATAAGATCTGATTGTTGTTCTAATTGGTATCATATCAATTGTGTAAATATAACTCTTAGCGACTTTTCGATTCCTAGCTATAAAAAATTGGTATCTAAACACCCAAAAACAGCTGATATAATTGCCCCAAACCCGGAAAACGTCGCTAGTTTTTTCGTAACTGAGATCGAGGTGTACAAAGCAATTATGTCGTTTCCAAATGGTTCGGGAGCCGGTCCGGACAAGCTTGTTCCCCAAATTTTTAAAGATCTTAATAGTAAATCAAACGGCAATGCGAGTCTAAATTTCCTTAAATCGCTTACTAAGCTCCTAAATCTTATAGGTGAAGGTGAAGTACCCGAACAGCTAAGACCTTTCTTTTTTGGAGCAAAACTTATCGCCCTCGTAAAAATAGGTGAGGTTTGCGACCAATCGCCATCGGCAACACGCTCAGACGCATCGCGTCTAAATGCGCTGGAAGGAAGGCTCTCTCAGAGCGACAATTTTTTTTGGGAGTTTTCAAGTACGATGTGGTACTAAACGAGGAGCTGAAATTGCTGCACACTCCTTTAGAAATTTGATAGAGCGCGATGACAACCCGAAATGCCCAGTTTTACTTAAATTAGATTGTAGTAATGCATTTAATTCACTTGATACAGAAACCAGGGTTGCATTAATTACACCCTTTCTGGGTTTATGACGTTTTTAACCTAAAATACGTTATTAACTGTTAATAGCGTAAAGTTTTGAAAAGTTGGAGCAGTGTACCAAACAATGAATTATATTCAAACAGATTTTAGTACACGGAGACAAAAAGCAAGTTTCCCGACTTTTTCGGAGTCGAGGCGGTTCGGCAAGTCCGAATGGACAAAACCCATTATCGATAAAGCTCTTTCCAAGCCCGCTGTGGTAGGTACTAGCTTCAACATTTTGAGACAGGTCAGCCAGTGCATCAGGCAATTCGTTGGTCTGCTTGCTGAGTTTGCCAGCAGTGACGTTATCAGACTGCAAAACGTTTAAAGCAACCGAAACCGGCTTGAGACACTTAAGCCCGTCTTCGACATTTTGGAACAAGACCAAGTTCTTGATAAGCTGTCCAACCGATTTGCCTTGAGATGTAGAGAAATACGTAAAGTTTTTCTCGATAATCGACTTGAGTTTTCTCCATGAGTTTTTGTACCATTCGAACAAATGAACAACACTGTTCCAACATACATTAGACGGCATAGGCGGCTTGAGTGCTCCTTCTTCCTCTAGCCACGCTTTAGGTAGGTGAGAATTCTGGAACAGTTTTGCTTCTTCTGTCACTTTGGTGACAAGCGACGTGGGCACTAGATCTTTTGCCAGAAAGTTCACTTGATAAGCACCACAACCATATTCAAAAACATCTTTTTTGTTTGCAACTAGACGGCTCATTTTATTCATATTTTCAGCATTGTCTGTTACAACCGCTATTACGCTGACTCCATACTTATCTTCCGCTTTTTTGATATGGTGCAACGTAACTTAGCTAGATACTCACTGTTGTGACTGCTGCCAGAGGTATCCGTTGTTCCAACAATATACACCTTGTTTTCATGCTGAATAGACGCCGCAACTTTGGGGTCGTTGCAAATATTCGACCACCCATCGATACAAAGAGATACCTCTTGCCCCCTCAGTTTTGTACAGCACTCCCCTTCCATATCGGTATAAACGGCGTCTAGAATATCCGTTCCGAGATTGTTCCTGTTTGGTGGCTTATAACCAGGTCTCATCAAGGAGCAGAGGTCCTTGAAATGCTGGGAATCAACGGCTGCAAATATGAATATTGTTGGCGAAGAAAAACCGTCCAACTGCCATGTCAATTTTATTTTCTCGTCACTTGTAGTTGAAACAGTGAAATTAGTTTTTTTTACTGTTTCGGTCTTGACGGACCCGCTTCTCGTGACTCTCCATGCTTCGAATAATGCTTTTTCATCCTTTCGGGGTTGGCCGCTGCCTCATGACCGCAAATAATGCATTTCGACTTGTTGCCATTTCGTTCAAAGTGCTCCCAAATACCATCAACAGGACGGCCACCAGATCCAGGCATCTCATCCACTTTATCTGAAATGAGCACTTGGCATTGCAAAAGTTTATAACAGCAGTTTATAACAGGTCTGGTTAAATAACAGTGTTAATAACAGTGTAAATAACAGAGGTGTTAATTACAGTGCAACCGTGACAGAAACTATCCTGAATCACGTTTTTTCGAACCGCCCGGAGTTGTACAAATATACTCATTGCGCCTTTTGTAAACCGAGCTATCTTTTCACGGAAATTTGACCATTGTATCGGAGGACGGAGCACAACAAGGTCATCCCGAGGCTCCACCGCTTTTTGCTGAAACAATGCAGACGCTAGTAAAAAAAAAAGCTTGAGTTCAAAATGAACGTTTGGTACTTAGATGATGGAAACCTAGCCGACGACTACAATATAGTGCTCCGAGGCCTTAAAAATACTGAAATCAGAGAAAGACTATGGCTTAAGCCTAAACACAGAAAAATGTGAGCTATGTTTTCTAGAACAGACCACAAGTACGCATTACAGTACAATTATAGGTCAATTTCAAAAATTATGTCCAAAAATAAAAATCAAATCCAAGAATGAACTCGTAATCTTGGGCTCCCCTATAGGCGAGTTTTGTTGGAAAGAACTGCTAAATGAAAAAATAGCTGATCTGGAAAAGATTTTGGATGTCCTCGAAGAGCTGGATGCACATTAGGATTTTTACCTCCTAAAAATTGCTCTAACATGCTCAAACTCCTTTATTTGTTGCGTACAAGTCCTTGTTTTTTGCAAAGTGATTTTTTGGAAAAATACGATCGAATTTTAAGAAGTTCTTTTATGCTAGGTAAAAAATGTAAAAATGAATGATAGCCAATTTTTGCAAGCAGTTCTCCCGGCAGCCAAAGGTGACTTGGGCGTGTCTTTCCGCTATCCTACTAGTTTAACCCGCTTTTTAGCCTCAGCAGTAGGAGCGAAAGCTACTTTAAGTGAGATTTTTGGTTTGGAGCACGAAGATGGAACATATAATGATACATCAGAACTTAGGTTTGATTTAGCAAAATGTGAAGCAGCTCCTGAAAACGAAATCCAAAAGAAAAATAGAGGGAGCCCATTTTTGATAAGGAGTATTCTCAAATGATTTGGAAACTAGAACCTACTGATGTAAAAAGGTACAAAGCTTACCAGGATCAGTTCGGATCCGCAATGGTTGAATGTCATACCGTGTAAAAATCTCAGAAAATTGTCGAATCAGCAGCTTAGAATTACAATTGGACTCAGCCTAGGTTTAAACATTGTTAAAAGTACAGGGTGATTTTGAGGCATTCTAGTTTGATTGCCTTTGTAAAGCAAAGTCTCGTCTTCACTCACATTCGTTCTGTTGTAGAGCCACGACACCTCCACAGGGCAGATCAGAAGCGACCAGACGGTTTGACGTTTGTCCTCTGGGCTGTTGGTAGGCAGCTCTTGTGAGATGTAACGGTAGTTGACTCCCTAGACCATAGTAGATTAAGCGCATGCTCTGTTTGTAACCCCGGACCAGCCGCGGTCGAGGCGGAAGATAGAAAATCTGACAAGTATCGAGATTTAATTAAGGATGGATATATTTTTCAACCATTAGCTTTTGAAGTTCAGGGAGCTACCGGCCCTAGCACTGAGATTTTTCTGAAGAAGCTTTGTAAGAACTTGTGCACGTGTACCGAGGAACCCAGGGTAGGTAGTTTTTTTAAGCCGTGAATCTCCCTGGCAATACAGGTTGCGAATAGTTATATCGGCACTAGTGATGATATAACTACTTTCGAAGAATTTTTTGATAGAGCCAAGGAAACAAAAGCACAGCTTTTTATAATTATATGGTAGAGCCGTAGCCTCATATCAGGTCAGTCTTTTTCAGTCACTTTTAACTCCGGTTTATTCTGTGCAGGTGTTAGTTTTTTTTTCAATCTGGTTGGCTCGATTACCAGCCATCTGACTCTCTTTACTCCTTATCCACATTATACTTTTCTCTTCCATATCTAGAAAGTTCCGGGAATTATGACTGGATAATGTGATGAAGGGACTCTTGACTGTAACCTCGGTTACTATGACATTTTCGACCCTCTGATCACGTTCACCTAAGTCGCAGATATTGGTGCCACTTTTAGGGGACCTTAACAGCTTTTACATACCATGTGCTTTGACATTCGAATACTAATAAGTTACCACAGTTGATGCTTTTTTTTAATTCATAAAATGAACCGAAAAAAGATATTTTGAACAATATTACAATAAGGAAGACTCGAATTCAAATTTTTCTAACTCATTGTATCTCGAAATTTTTTGAAATGCTTATTTTTACATGATGTGGCTTTATGCTTTGCGATTTGTTACATGCAAAGTTTGTGTGGATGCCTTCAGTTTGTTGTATTCGAAATTTTTACTTGCAAAATTGAGTCCATTTGTATTTGTTGCCACTTTTGCTGAATGGCTTGGGCAATTTACTAGCATATGTAGCTGCTTTATGCGTGACTAGTGTGTCATACTATCTAAATTAGTTCATCATTTGAGTCCAGTTTCATTCTAGTTGTTGCTATTTAATTTATCTATGTCTGGTGCTAACTGGTTTTTAACCTTCGGAGTTGTCTGTCACCTTTGGTTGACCGCCATTTCATTGTCTCTGACTAACTTTCTACTTTACGGTTACTAAACTTAACGGATCAATTTACTTATCGAAACCGTCTTTTCTCGTGGTGCAGTCAACAGGTCAGAGTGGTGGAAAAACCCACTGG